GATCTTATGGGACCATTCATGCCTTCATTTGGATATATATATATATATATATATATATATATATATATATATTATTGCATGATAAAAGGATTAACGTGGTAGGGCAGCATATCAATGTCCATTGAGGTAGAAACAACCGAGTCTGAAAACGTGGGCTTCCAGTGACTCGGAAAAAACTGCATCTGAAGCGATTGAACCACCTGCTTGCCTGCACCTGTTCGATCAGGCTTTTCATTGATGTGGAGTGTCGGTCGGTCCCTTGACCTCACTTATAATTATCATATACTATAAATTTGCTTTCATGAATGTCTAGAGTTAGTTTTTGTGAGAATTTGTCAGGACAGTCGTTGGTGTCTCCAAGTTTTCCTTTTTGGGATATATCCAACAGTGAGTGATTCTCTGGCCATATCTTGTTACGATGTGACGATTCTCCTGCAAGGATGGTGTGTCACTCTAGCTGTATCTCGCTCCTGAGATGGTATTTATCCTTCCTCGACTCTTTCACATCCTTCCTGCTTCAAACATGCATTGCCCCACCATTGTAGCTGGCCATAACAATACTTATTTGTTGTTTTTCTTGCATATATCCTTTCTCTTTGTTGACATTGTTGTTCCATCCCTCAACCTTCACAACTACGACAGTCTGACCCTTTATCATTGCTGCCACCATTATTTCATCCGTCCTGCCTTCACCCCAGATAGCCTTCCCACTTTTCTCTTTGTTGTTTGCTTGATATTTGACACTGATGAAACAATTGTCTTGCTATTTTTAGCTTGTCAACTGGCTTTTACATTTTTGCGCTACTGTCCAAACTTTTGCCAACCACGACGACCACCACCACCTCTGATTTATCCCTAAACTGATTTGTGCTATTAGTTATTGCAATCTCAGATTTCCATATGTTGTTTGTAATTTCTTTTTGATTTCCATAATAATATTTAGCTTTCTTATTATTGCTTAGTTTGCTTGGGCATCACCAACATTGCATGAGAATCCAACACACACACACACACACAAATAAAAGAAATATTTAAAAAAGAGACCTATGAGGTTAATTGGAAAACTCAAAAGAGTAAAAAACTACGTGCTATGACATAATTAAAATAATTCACTATATATTTTAATGTGATTTTAATATCTTGATCATGTTACAAATATCAAACAATAACTCAATGAGAAGAAGAACCATGGTAAAAGGTTAGTCACAATATATGGTGGTGGATGTTCCCATTTATTTTTTTTAAGAGTATGTGCTTAACTCATAGCTTCTCTTTCTCCTTCATGTTAAAAATGGGGTTCTATTGATAATGATTCGGAAGTGTGTTTTTGATAAATATAGCCAAAATCCCGAAACACTCAATCAGAAGGTCTGTGTTCATTCTTTTTTATCACTGTGTTTGGAGAAACTACTCTGAAAGAATCTCTTTTAGTTTCACTGCGAAATAGAATCATATGATATAAGAAAATCATAAAAATAAATTTAAACACATAAGCAAAATCAAAACAATAAAAAATAACATATGAGAATTTATGTGAAAAAATCAGAAAACGGTAGAAAAATCACGGAACCACACAACTACAAATTCATGATGAAAATCAGACAGTTTTACAAATGACTCAGACAAGCTTCTTCTCTACACTCACACGAAGAAACTTACAAGACGCTTCACAATATTCTTTTTCCGATTCGACACAAAAACACATGCTGAGATCCCACAAATCCTCCTCTCTAACTCCTCTCCTTCATCAGGAACTCGTTGAAGAACATAAAAGGAAAACCTACACCCAACCCATCATTACGCCACTCGAAATTAGTTTAAAAACCCAGAAAACGGAGTAACTGCAACGGATACTTAGGTGCCCAGATATGGCGCCTATGCGACGAGCTCTCTGGATTGCACCCAACAAACCAAGCGCTTGAATGCTTAAGGCCGATGCTGAAACGTCGGGTCCTTTGTCTTCGCCAAAAAATAAAGGCGCTTGAATGCTTAAGGTTGGTGCTTAAGCACCAACATCTTTGTCTGAGCCAAGAATATGGGCGGTTGAGCACCCAAAGGGAGCACAAAGGCGCCCCCCTTTTGTTAGCGTCCAAAGATGGTCACTTATGAGCCCAAACTCGACACCTAAGAGCCGAGATCTTGAGGTGCTTTGGCTCTATATACATAACACACTGATCATTCTTTTAGCCTTCAAGTGTCTTGACGATTTGAGAATTGAATGATCTTGAACTTATTTGATTCCTTTCAACGAGACACTCGATTTAATTATAAACATGTCAAATTTGAATATCATTTAACAATTCAATAAATATTTTGAAGCTTCAAATTATATTTTAAATGCTTGATCTGAACACATTTGAGATCATATTAAATACCCACTTTTAACAACATTTCATTCTCATTACCAATGTTTTTTTAACTAAAATCTTCTTATACAACTTGCATCAAAATTCGTGTCATATTATATGAATTTTTTTAATGAATGCTATAAATTTTTTATTTTTTTAAAAAATCATACTCTATTTTTTTTTCACAAGCACTTCACCATTACATTCACTTATGAAAGTTATTTCTAATCACAAACTTTTTCTGAAAAAAAAATAAAATAATAAAATAAAAGTATCTAAACAATAAAACACTCAAAAAATTGCCACGAAGAACTTAGCCAAATGTTTGGATGGGCCTCATCTTCCCGAGCCCAATGTTTTAATTGGGCTTCGCTGAAAATTTGAAGCCCTAACCGAGCTATCTATCGGTTAACCATCTCCCCGTTTCCCGCACTAATTCCAAAGCCTTAGCCCTCGCTATCTCCTTCCGCCTTCAAATTCCCAAAAGTTTCTCTTCCCAGATATCCATCTATCATAGCCGCCATGCCGTGTTACTGATGCAGCTCCGCACTATAATAGCCCTAATTCCCTCTAGAGTCGTGAAGAACGGTTGCGCAAGCTCGTTATCTGCTACTCATGGCCAGTTGCCGACTCTCTATTCCTTTCGCGGTTTCCTTCGGCGTTATCGGAATCTCCTGAAGTCGCTGATTGTGTGTCGGTCGTCTGGAGTCTCTCATGGCGATTCAGATTCGTAGGCTCATATCTACAAACTGCTTTCATAGGGAATTCCATAATTGCTCCATCATTGCTCCAGCCATGGTATGTGTTTTTTTTTGCGGGTTTGATTTTATTTGAAGAAAGCCGCCAACTTTATGGCCTTGGGATTTATGGTTTTAAAGAATAAAATCATTATCGTTTTATTGGAAATGATTTTGAAACTAATGGGATGTTTGTCAGGATTTTTAACTTATGCTACAATTTGTTCGAATTTGAATTAGCTACTGGATTATTGAATTTGCTTAGGAAATTTTCTTGCAGCTCCAGTTCAAGACAGTACCAAATTTTCCTTGTTCCTGCATCTCATACACACCAAATGGTTTCATCAAGAAATCTGGGATGGAAATGCAGATTAGAACCGCAAATTGTTTGCAGGCAGTTTGCAGCAATAGATGTAGTTATTCTTTTTGCCTCAGTAAGGACTGGAGAGATGGCCTCTCTTGTTCTGTTCGGCAAGCTTATTGTTTCAACTCTATATTGGCTGGAGGAAATAGTTATAAGACTAGTTTTCCTGCTCATGGATTTCTGAGTAAAAGTTCATTTTCTTCAATTGAAAATAAGCTAAAGCCATCTGCAAAAGCTGATGGTGTTGGTAAAGATGTCATTAATGGAGATAGAAAATCCAAACCTCAAATTCTTCTTGCGAAGAAGAGGAGGAAGAAAGCTTCATCTGTTTTAGATGAAAATGACACTGAGGTTATTACCCAGCCTGTTGCAAGATCTGAAGAAGCAGTATCTAGTGAGAGGGAGGTTTTGAAAGATGGTGAAAATAAAAAAGGTTTAAGTAAGAGCCGTGCTAAAATTATAGGCGGCAAGGCTTCTCCGAGGGAAGTCAAGAATTCTAATAACAAGAAACATGAAGAAACTTCTGAACCTTGCTCCTCTTCGACATCCGTAGAAACCAAAAAACTGAAGAAAGCTTCACGGGTGAAGAAAACAAGAGTTGCTGGTGCGATTACACAAAATAAGAGTACAAATACATTCAATGAAGGAGTACAAACTATGAATCAGCAATTGGGGCCTTTATATCCTCCTTCTGGGAAATCAGTTGTGGTTGTGGAGTCCATGACAAAAGCGAAAGTAATCCAGGGCTACCTTGGTGAAAAGTATGAAGTCCTTGCTAGTTATGGCCATGTTAGGGACTTGGCTAGAAGGTCTGGATCTGTACGTCCTGATGATAATTTTAGCTTAGTCTGGGAAGTGCCTTCTAGCGCATGGACTCATCTGAAGAGCATAAAGATAGCACTGAGCAGGTAGGCTTCTTTTTTGTCAAGCATTCTTGCAATCCCTGCAAAAGTTGATATACACTTTTGATTTACTTAGGAACTTATATCTTATCTTTTTTGAGGATAGCCACATCCATTAGAATCATGTTCATCTAAATGGTCATGATCATAACTGTTTGATCTTGATTTGTCTGTGGACCAACACACCCAAGGAAAAAGTTTGAATACAAGGGTTAGAACTAGGAAACAAAGAGAAGATTCTCTAAAAAAAGATTGCTATTTTATATGCAGGGTTTGATTGTCTTTTATGTAATGATCATCTTTATTTATAGATGAGTTAATTCATACATTACAACATTACAAATGTTGCTATTAGTAAACACAAAACCCAAGTGATATTATTTCCATTTTTATTATCTTATTTTGGTGTCATCGTTATAATTTTCTTCTAATAACTTATCAACTCATTTGTAGTTTCCTTCAAAGATATGCTTATTTTCTTGCAAATCCTCTGACTTATCATCCTCAGCAATACTTATTTTCTTGCAAATCCTCTGACTTATCATCCTCGGCAATATCTCTGTAAGTTTGGTCGATGCTATGTCGAGTTCATCTTCAGGGCAAATTCATTTATTGGGTGAGTTCATCTCCTTCATCTCGTGGGAGAGTTGTTCTCTTGTATGAGTTCATTCTTTTAGGAGAGTTGTTTTTCTAGACGAGTTCATCTCATGTGATGGTTCATCCCCGGGATGAGTTTATCTTCTTCAGTGAGAGTTCATCTACTGAACAAGCTCATCTTCTTGGATAGTTCATCTCTTGGGAGTGTCATCTCTCTAGAGATTTTTTCTCTTGCATGAATTAGAGGCTTTCAGTTATAAAACATCATGAGAATCAAAGAGTTTATCATGATTAAAAATTTTCTTTTCTATCACTATAATTTAATGAAGTTAGTCATTGAAAGAGCTAAAACCTGGTATTTGGAAACCAAAATACCAAATCAACCATGGAATTTTGGGTTTATCTAAAATTTCAATATCTTTGGTGGGTTGATGTTTACTTCATTCATATATGTTATGCTTTATAGAGAAACACTACCATAACTAATAAACTCTGTGACAACTGAGATACTCTGTCACGAGGGAACATTTTTATTAGGTTTCTATTAAACTTATAACCAATGTATGCAAGATCCCTAGCATAAAATGTGATAGCATGAACTCTCACCCATCAAGGTATTGTCTGTCAATGGCCTAACATTCTCATGTTTTGCCCCATTAATGTAACTTCATAGACAATTACTCATCCTAAAGAGTGTTCTAGCACGAGCACGCTTAATTTTGGAGTTTTTATTGAAATTCACCGCTATGCCAAAAGAAACCTTGTAGAGTTTGGTTTCAATATAATTAAGGGGTTTCACAATCTCTCACTTAATTGCCTGATGTCCTCATCAATTCTCTTTACCTAGAGTCATCCACAATGTAGATGAGATTCAAGACGTGGCCCCTACAGATTCAAGAGGTGGCTCCTACCATGCAGCACTTTGTCCCATCCAGGGTTTAAGAGGTGGCTTTCATGGTGTTGTAGCACTTTTGTCTGTGTGACACTTAGTTCCCATCTTCCTGCTGTTGTAGTGCTCTGATACAATTTGTGACAACTTGAACTTTTACCCATCAAGGTATTGCCCACTTTGGCCTAATGGCCACAAAATTTTGCCCCATTGGTGTGACTGCTCCGGAGGTCACCTATTCTAGGATTATTCCAGTACAAACACACTTAACTTTGGAGTTTCTATCGAAATTCCACAATTCCACAAAAAGGTGTCTCGATGTTTAAGAGTTCGGTTTCGATCTACTTAAGAGGTTTTATGATGAATTGTGAAGAATTTATATCCATAGCAATCTTTGTAACGTTGGATTATACAACTGGTAAGCTGAAGCTAAATAGCAATGATATGGTATACTTTGATAATGACACTCTACAACTGATAAAGTGCACTGCTTTTTTGGAAAAAAATCTTATGCCAACTTTTAAGGTTTATGGTAAGATTAACTCGGAAGTTACTGTTGAGCATAGAGTGCTAGTTGTAGCTGCATTTTATCACTTTTTAAGTAGGAGCTCTTAAAAACTTCAATATTACTGCAGTGCTCTTGCTGTTAGTTAAGCAATGTATCTTGACCCTGAAAACTTAAGCAAAACAAGCTAATATTAAAATTTATGTGTATGTTCTCCTTAATTGAGAAAGATGAATGCAGCGTGAATGTTAATCCATGTGACCTTTTTCTTATTCATTAGATTTCAAATTATTTAATTTTTATTACTCATGTTAACTTTTTTTTTTTCCTTTTCATAAGTAGAGGATGACTTTTTTTTATACTACTTCACAATTTATCATCTGTCTCTCAGTGCAGAAAATTTAATATTAGCCTCTGATCCCGACCGCGAAGGAGAAGCCATTGCTTGGCATATTATTGAGATGTTACGGCTGCAAGACGCCTTAAATGAGAACATTACAGTATCAAGGGTTGTATTTCATGAAATAACTGAGTCATCCATAAAATCTGCTCTACAAACTCCTCGAGAGATAGACTCAAACTTGGTCAATGCTTATCTCGCTCGTCGTGCGCTCGATTATCTGATTGGATTTAGCATATCACCTTTGCTATGGCGCAAATTGCCTGGTTGCCAATCTGCAGGACGAGTCCAATCTGCGGCTTTGGCTCTGATATGTAACAGAGAAACAGAAATCGAACAGTTTAAACCACAGGAGTATTGGACCATAGGAGCTAAATTCAGTGGCAGTTGTTCAGATAATCTCGGTAGATCTGCAATTTCTTCGAATTTAACCCACTTTAACTCTAAAAGGTTAGACCAGCTTTCAATTATCTCTAAGACAGAAGCAGAGGCCATACAAAAGAAGATTAATACCTCGAAATTTGAAGTGTTAGGTTTTAAAAGAAGTGAAGTACATAGAAATCCTCCAATGCCTTATATTACATCAACACTTCAGCAAGATTCTGCGAACAAATTGCATTTTACAGCTGTGCATACAATGAAGGTTAGTTTACTTTTGTTTCTTCTTGAAGTACCATATTAAGATATTTTAATTATTTTAGTGTGTTTCTCTTTTCCTTTGAGTTGATTATAACCAAAAATGTGCTACCAAATAGATATTATTCTTAGGGCATGGTCATATTTGTAATAAAATAGAAACTTTAGTAGTTGTTGTTAATTTTAATGTAAGTTAAAATTATTTGAGGATATTGATCATTTGATATTCTTTCCTTAACTATTTATTGAGGATCTTAGTGAAAATGCTATAGCTTTTCTACTGAACTAATACTACATGAAGCGTGCTTGTAGATGTATCATAGGTAAAAGAAGCGAAAAACGTATCTATCTGGTTGAACAGAGATTCAAAGAAAGGCTATCTTCTGATAAGATTAACTTTTTAAAAGTAATTTTTGGGGGCACTATACTGTATATAACGTTGTCTTTGTTAATTGTTATATATATCTTTAGCTGGGAATATATAACAATTTTGGTCTTTAAAAGAGAAGCATAAAACAAAGTTAAGTGTTGTTGGGATAAGAATGCTTAGGTGGTTGAGTAGCTTGAGACTTAGAGACAAAATGTGAAATTAATATATTTGTGATGGGGTTGGTGTAGCTTCATTGACGGGCAAGATTAGAGAGAGTCATCTTGGATGGTTTGGTCACATTAAACGTTGACCATCAGATGATCCGGTTTGGAGAGTAGATGTTTTAGCTCTGACTTATTAAGAAAGAGAGAGGTTTACCTAAAAAGAATTGTGCATATTCTGTAAAAAATGATCTTAATCTATTAGAATTAAATGAATATATGACACTCAATAGGACACAATGGAGAAAAAGGATTCATGTTGCTGACCCCACTCAGTGGGATAAAGGCTTGTTGTTGTTGTTGTACCCTTAGCTGGGGATAAAAAGGGTTGAAATGGAAAAAAAAAAAAATTTTTTTTTGGTCACAATAATTAGATGGCTATGCTGTGAAAAAGTGGAACTGAATAAGCTGATATTGAGAAGGAATATGTAGGGTGGGGGTTTGAGGTATGTTTGAATTTAAGAAGAGTTGTTTTGGGCATGAAAAATGAATGCCGTTTGACACAAACATTTGTCTAACGTTAATGTTCTCTGTGTCTGGTTGATTAGAACAACTTCCGATGAAAGTATCTTGGTTCAAGATTTTTTCTTTCAAAATTCTTAAACATTACTAATTACTGTCAAATACGTGTTTCCCTTTCTCCGCAGCTACCAGTCTTTAGGTTACACTTTTTTTGTTATTGCCATTATGGATATTTATGTCACCAGACCAATTCTTGTGTACTTATATGCAATGTGCCTATATTAACAGTTGTCTGGCAAGCAACTTGTTTGATAACATAATGTTATTCATGAAATCTCCTGCACTTAATCAGTGCCATTCTCATTGCAGCTAGGTTTTCTAACTAGTAATTTTCTATCCAGCCTTATTTAGGTATGTTTTTTGGGGGATGCTCTAATTTATTTGTTTTAATCATATTACTGTAAAATTAACCAGAACTAAGTCTTATATTGAGCGCTGCCACCATGTTCTAAGGATATTGTTATTATTGTATGAATTATGTCTTTCTTGGTTAATAGAAATAGTTCCTTCAAGCCATTGATACTCTTCTAGTTTTTTTTTCTAAGGCGGGGCACTCACATTGCATACAATTCTTATGTATTTGCATTACCTCAGACCCAAACATTCATATTTACTCATAGCACTCAAAACTTTAATATAATATAAAAATAATAATATTTACACTTTTAAAATGTAAAGTATTCCTTTTCTAAAGTACCAAAGTGCTATGTGTGTAAATATGAAGATAGGCATGATACCGAAATCAGGTAGGAAAACAGCGGAAACACACAAAGCAAATTTTTATTGATACAGGGATAGGGTTACAACACAACACAACAGAAAATAACAACATAAAATATAAACGACACAAGCAAACACCTCTAAGGTGTATTCCGAGGGCGGTGGAGGGTAGTGGAGGTCGGCTAGGTGGATTGAGGTGGTTGGCAGGGGCGGTGGCAGCAAAGGAATGCTAGAGACAACGAGGGTAAGGTGCGAAACTGCAGAGACAATAATGATAGAGGGTTGGGCAGTAGGTTTTGCTTCAGAACAACGATGACCGAGGCTTGGATAAAGGCCAGGGGACAACAACGCTGGACTGTTGGAACAGGGCGGTTGAAGGTTGGGGTGACGTCTGGGGAGATGGATAGGAAGAGTAAACACTTGGCTGGGTGCTAAGATGAACGATGGGGAGGCCGGCGACTGGTGGAGAGGGGAGGAGGGGTAGGAATGGTAAAAGGAACGATACAACACCACATTGAAGTAGGATACAACCGGAGCACCAACACCTTCGCAGTTACAGCTGTAGAGCAGGAATAACTTTCTGCACAAGAAATCTTAAAGTAGAACACGACAAAAAACTCCCCATAAACTCAGAAAACAAGCATATAAATAGACCTAGCTAGGTCAAAAACAAGAAGGGAAGACAACGAGAAAGGAAGGAGGAGAAAAGGGCAGGCGACAATGCCGCCCTCTCCAGATGATGCTCGATACAGGCGGGAGACACGAAAGGAAAGGTGCAAGTGCCGCCCTCCTTTAATGCCTCTTGATTCTTTTGGAATCTTCGGTCGGGCTCCCCTGGACTGACTCTTATTCCAGTCGGTTCAGCCGGCTGGCTTGTTTCCCGCACCCCCTGCACCCGCATCAAGGCGTGAGATATGTAAATAAATAATTAGAATTGTGTACTTTGTATGTAAATTTAACCCTTTTTACTATTCAGTTATGCTTCATTTTCTTTTTGAAGAGAGGGCGATGCTCATTCTGCTGAGCTATATTTTATTTTATTTTATTCTGCTGAGCTTTATTTTATTTTATTTTATTCTGCTGGGCTTTTTGTTGTAGTAATTACTTTATTACTTGATGAAAATGCAGCTAGCACAGCAGTTGTATGAGGGGATAAAGCTATCAGATAAGGAGGCTACTGGGTTGATAACTTACATGAGAACGGATGGAATGCATGTAGGTTTCAGTTTGATCTTACATTGTTGGAAGATGGAATGCAACACAACTTATATTTTTTTTTTCTCTGTTATTGTCTGCTTCCTTATCGATAAATCTTTTGGTCTGCTTATATATATATATATATATATATTTGTGGTGCTTGATTGTCATTATTTTCATGATTTTACTGGATTTTTAACCTGTAGATCTTTTCTTTGGCTTTTTTTTTTCACTTTGCATAAAATTCCTGCCTGGAAAAAAAATATTGTCTGAAGAATCTGAAGTTGTTTATTATTGTTTAACTTGTTGACCCCTCTTTGGGGTTGTTTGCTGTTTTGTTAGGAGGAATCCAATGTCTTTGGCTTCTATTCATCAGCAATTTATCATACTTATCCATAGTTTTGTATTTATTTTCATGGAATATCTACTTTTCATAAAAAAACATGACACTTTTTCTAGTATTTAACGCAGCTATTTATATATGCATATCATAATATACATGCATCTTATCTTCTTTGAGAATTATGAGGTTGTGTGTAACTTGTGTTTTATAATATTCGATGTACAAAGTTTGGGCTAACAAATAATTTTTCTTTAAAACATTTTAACTTCTCTTTGTTCCTTCGATTGTACGGAGATATTTTGATATGTCAAGGATGCTTTCTACTCTAAGAAAGTGCATGATTGCAAGAAGAAGAGGAAGAAGAAGAATAAGAAAATTACGACAGGTTTTATTGATTTAGTGTGCCCTAATAGTTCTCAATAGAGACTACAAACAATACATGACTCATAGACTACCTATGAGTTTTTCATACCTATTACATACCTAATGACTCATAAATATTCATTAATTTAATCATAATATGCCCATTCCATCATTGATGATATAACATTTATAGCATATTTTTGACATTGCTTTAACTGGTAACTTACCAGTCAAAAGGCACATTACTATTAATATATAGAATTCACATGTTTTAAAAAGGAGATCATTTTCAGAATGATTTGTTTTTGAAGGAGTTTGATTGTTATTATAACTGGATCTGCTGGTTTAGTTGTCTGTTCAGCTACGTTTACAATAATTCTTTATTTTTTTTGGGTACAAATCCTGCTTTCTAATATTGCATTTTGATCTTTTCATTTGTTAATTCATTGAATATTTGTTCTTTGAGAAATACTCTATTGTATTACTAAATGTAGAGAAGTTGCATCATATTCCTCATACACATGCCTTACCATGTCATTATTTTTTTTCTTTGTTCTAATACTGTCAAGCGGTTATTAGATATCAAATGAAGCCGCAGTGGACATCAATTCCTTCGTCGGAGAAAGGCGAGTTTTATCTAGATTAGAACTGTTGATAGCTTGGAAGAAATTAAATATATTTTTTTGTGCTATTAATATATCACTAACAAAACATCATCTTATTTTTATCTAAATCATAATGGCCTTTTTAAATAGGTATGGTGGAAAATTTGCCTCAAAGGGTATACGGAAGTACTTCAAGAAAGTGAAGAATGCACAAGAAGCCCATGAAGCGATCAGACCTACCGATATAAGGAGGTTACCATGTAATATTTTGCGTAAATTTATGAATATTAAAATGCAAACGCATTTGTATAAAGTTTTAGATCAAGCTTTGAAATATGCTTTCATTTGTTTAAAGTTTTAGATCAAGCTTTGAAATGTGCCATTTATTGGAGGCGGCCACATTTCTTTTGTATTCCTTTTTGTACGTGCTTACTTTGATTAGAAAATACTCTTTATAATTGATATAATATGTAAAATCGGTGCAAGAGGAGAAGCCTATGAACATTGTAAAATAATCTGAAAATGTGATCTTCCAAAGTTCGATTTAACCTTGTCTCTGGTAATTGGCTAGAAGATGGATAGGGCATGAAATTAAAGAAAAGAGCGATAAAAGTTGCATCACCTACCTAATCATTCAAATGTTAACTTTCCATTTTGTGGAACCTTGCATGACTTACAAAGGGACGATTTTTGGATGAGAATTATAGAGGCAACAAAGTTATTTTAACTCATCAATAATAAGTTCAAATATCATAATGGATTATTGTTAATAATGACTTTGTATCTTTTATGACACTTCAACATGAATGAATTCTAGATTTTTTTTTTAAGAATTTAAGTGTTCAATCAATAAACCGAGGACCAAGTGCGAAGGATATGAGTCCCTCAACCAACTTGAAATCGGTTTGGTAGTGCTAGAAGCTCTCAATAGTAAGTTTTATTTGTGTCAATACATGTTTGTTTACGATTCAGTTAGCTTTTTAATTTTTTCGATGTTAGTTTTATAATTTGGTCATAAGAGCTCTTTCTACTTAACATCACATGATATTTAGTAAGAGAGTTGAAATTCAATAATAAAAAAACGAACTTCCTCTTGCTTATTCTTTAGTTTCTCCATGTTTTCTTCCTTTCAACATGTATTTATCCTCCTTTGAGGTGTTTATTCATTTCTTCTAAAACTCCATAGTTCTCCTTTTACATTGTATTAGTTTATTTCCCTTACTCTCCTCTATGTCATATTATTTTTTTGTTCGTTCTTTATTGTTGACTGATCTTTCCATGTGAATAACCAGCAAAGACATGCTCTATTTTTTTTAGATTGAAAGATATTGAAAATTTTGTCAATAATTTTCCCTAAACGAGACTTATTATTTTTAAAATAGCAATATAAAGGGAAAAATTGTATACCTATACTTTTTGCTTATTCTATGCCCATGCTACTCGGGGCTTCCATTTCTAATGCTAGACGTCCAAACCCTTTTATTATAAAATATATAAAGCGCCTAAATCTATTATATGAGCCAGCCCCACTCTCTCACTCTCGTTTGTCCCATGCCCCTCAAACTCGCACACAAATTCTTGAAAACCTCAGCAATGAAGAATCGAGGATGATGCGTCAGTAGTTCCACAAAGAAGGCATTGATGTGTCTAGTGGCACGTGAAGAGAGGTTGGTCTGCTAGAAGCTCAAGGGAGAAGCCATCGACATGGCTAGCAACAAGTTAAGGAGGAAGTCGTTTCAAGATCTTGTTGGAGAAGATTCGATGGGCCAAGCAATGCCCAGAGAAGAAGAGTTAGTGAGAGTCTTACAAACTTAAGATAAAGCTGCCTAACGCTTAAATTTAGTAAATTTGGGATTATGGTAAACTGAGGAGAATCAATTTTTAAATGTCGGGTAGGATTTAAAGTTGTAATTTTAAATGTTTATAGGATTTAGATTAACTTTTGCTTAAATTCTATCCAAATTCTTCTACCTCTCCCACCCTCTCTACATCTCTTTCTCCCCATATTTATCCCACCCTCGTTCCCTCCCTTGCTCTCTAAGAGAACCCAAAAAAAAAAAAAGAAAAGAAAATAAGCAGAAGAAAAAAATCCAAAAAATAAAACTTTTGCTGCTATTGTACCCGACAAATAAAATAATGAGCTCAATTTATGAACCCAATCCTTTAGAAGTAAGCAAAGCCAATAAGATTTGAAGTAATTAGATGGAGTCATTTAAATAACTTCAATAACGGCCGCACTAAAAAAATTGATCGGAGAGATTACTATCATCAAAATACACTCGAATCTTAAAGTAAATACCATTGGGCTTAAATTCCCAGAAAATACAGTTTTAAATGAAATTGTAAAAATGCAAAAAAAAAAAAAAAAGAAAAGAAAAAGAGGGGTTGCTCATTAGCTTAAAGTAATAATACATCCATCATCAATAATAATTTTTTGAGTGTGACAAATTTAAACTTAAGCTCATAAAAATCCAATATCATATCAAATGTATTTCTATGATCATTATAAAATTTTATACTAGTAAGGGTGTGGCACTGGCACATGTCCTCCGATTGGGTGATTGTAATGCCAAATGACACTACAATACTCTTAAGATCGTGACCGTCTTTATTGCCAATGCTTCTAAGTATCATAACGGTTCAAATACTTTGATTGGTGAATGATGGAATGCACTTAATACGGCACAAAGTCCTCTATTAGCTTAAGGTCAAGCGAAAATTATTTTCTTAGATGTGTATCCACCTCATGTTTACAAGGATAATGCAACATATGTTTGCTAACAAGGATCGTCCGATTTAGTTGAGTTTACTACCCCTCTGACTAAATAGACTATAGTTTATGATGACTTGAGGTGATGAAACTATGAAATCTTGTTCCGTTTCATCACCTCAAGTCATCTTAATTTTTAAGCTAAAAGTAAATTCGCTGTTAATATATGATAAGCTCTTAGTGCCTAAGAACTTAATTTTATTTGATTGTTCTCTCTCTTCATCAAGCGGGATAATTTATTTTAGGAGTTTGCAAAACCCAAATTAAGATCTTAAAGCTCACACAAAATGTGAGGGCAAAGTCTCTGGGTATTGTATTACCTAAAAATTGATCCGCTTTCATATAATCTGACCTGAAATCACAAACTTTTTCAGAAGAGCTGGGCATAAATTTTGGAGCCCGCAATTAGGGGTGTAAACGAACCGAACACGAACGAACAAAGCTTGTGTTCGTGTTCGGTTCATTTAAAATTTAGTTTGTTTGAAATAAGCTCGTGTTCGTTTCTTAACGAACGAGCCGAACACGAACCGAACACAAGCTGTTCGCGAACGACGAGCTAGTTTGTCATCTCTAATATTAATATATAAAAATAATATTATATATTAATTATATAACTTATATTATATAAATATTCAATATCTATATTAGTATATTACTGCTATAGTATATTAATATATTATTATTATTATTTTATTATATATTATAATTTATAAAATTTAATGTTTTAAAATATAATAAATTTTTTATATATAATTATTTTATATTATTTTATATTTCAAACAATAACGATTCGAACACGAACGAACGCATCACTGTTCATGTTTGGTTCGTTTAACTAACCGAACGAAAAAAATTTGTTCGCGTTTGTCTCGTTTACTTATCGAACGAATCGAACACGAACTCATTGACGAACCGAACACGAACTGTTCGCGAACAACGAGCTTTTTTGACAGCCCTACCCGCAATGAGATTTGAGAATAGATCTATAAGTTTTGATCCAATATAGTGACAGTTGGTGTACAGAAAAGAAAAAAATATTGAAAGATGGCGATGCACTTTGGTGTAATCATGCAGTGGCCGTTTGATAGTAATCTCATTGATGATATGCGTGAATGACTCTACAAATCCAGATGCTTTTATCTACCATTAAGAATTATACCATGCTCCATGCCGTTTAAGTTTTCTTCTGGACTTACATCCTAGCTAGCCTTTTTACCTCACTGTGTGATATGCATTGAACTCAAAGAGCTATTTTTGTGTTTGAAGGTGTACTGGCAAAATAATTTTGCAGCCTTTGCTTAATGATAATGCTGACCTCTACTGCACTTACGATGGAGCTAATCAGCTTAACTATTTATCTTGAAATATTGGCCAAATAAAGCATCACTTCCTACATTTAATCTTTTCTTTTAGTGATTGCAAAAATAAATTGTGTTTATTTCTTTTTAACTATTTTTTTGCTTTAAGTTATTATCAATATCGTATTTTAATTTATTTCAGAATGCGCATACTAATTTTTATTTGGATAGAAAGTTTACAGATGCATGTTTCTTTGGCCACTAAAGTGCTACTTCTTAATTTTTTTGCCGCATCATTATTAGCAGTCATTTGATTTTTTTAGATCTCATTCTTAATCTTCCTTACAGCTAGTCTAGCAGGAATACTTGATGGCGATTCCTTGAAGTTGTACAGTCTTATATGGTGTAGAACTATGGCATGTCAAATGGAACCTGCCTCAATTGATATGGTGTGGTTTTATTGCTTTTAGATGCCCATTTCCTGTTAATCTTCCAATGCTTTTATTTATTAGATAATTGTAGAGGTTTACTTGATATACATTTTTATTTCGATGGAATAACTGGGTGCAAGCATCTTTTTCATTAAATTGAATAAAAAATGTTACATAAAGGTTAATTTATTATAATGAAATGAAAAAAAATTTACTGAACAAAATATATCGCTACAAAACAAGCAAAATATGGGATCCCAAAAAATAGCTGCTTCTAGAAGACAATAAAAATTCATGAACTCCAATAGAACCTTGTAGAAAGAAGTTCTGCAAGGACTTTTGCGACAAATTTCACTATTTTATAAGAAGTATGGCTAAAATCCTAATGTAATTTAAGAAGGTTAGTCTATGATATACCTTTGAAAAATTCTACTTTTTTCTCTACTCATCAGCTGTGGTGTTTTGACCTACTTTTTGTAGCATCTTTCACATGGCTATAAATTTTGTGGGATATTGCACATTTTTCCTTCATTTATTTTTTCATTTTATTTGACATATCAAACTTAATTCTTCTTTTGATTTTGTCCATCCTTCCGGCATAATGTAGATTCAAGTTGATGTCGGAAACAAGGCTGGAGATGTAATCCTTAGATCAGCTGGTTCAAGAACTGGTTTTCTTGGATTTGAAGCAGTTTATAAGGTATGGAGGCTCATTTGTTTTACAGACGTGACCATCTGTTTTTGACTTTCACCTAAATTCTTTTTTTTTTTTTGTTCTCTTGTGATTGTTTTCTTTTTTTTATTGCAGCTGAGATTTTAGTATTTTTGGAGATTCTTTTCTGTTTTCAATTATGCCAATAGTATGACAACTTTTACTGTCATATATATCCTTATCTATGCTCTCCACTACCTACCTTGTCTATTCTCTTGACTATCGACTAACCTCCTTCTATATGTTAGTTTTGGCTTTTAATTAAATTAGGTAAACATTCATCAATGCATACTTCTTAATTCATTAAGATTAATATGTAATTTAGCAAGTTGCCAATGTTGGTAATCATGCAAGATTTGTATTTGCTGAAAATTCTTTTTGATTATTTACAATGTGTAAGTTGATAGAAGTTTGCAATAGTTTTCTTCAATAGTTTCTGTTGCCTTAAAAATTTTCCTCTATATTGTTGCTGTAAGATAGAGGACTTAGTTTCTCGACGATGTAAAACAGTTTTGGGTCATATATCTCCCAAGAGAAATATTGGTGCGAAGTTATTATCCATATCGGAAAGTTCACAGAAAAAAATTGGCTGTCCTGTGTATAAAGAAGCTTTAACTGTCAGTCTTATTCTTGGTATTAGCAATGATTATTTATGGGAAGGTTATGTTGATGGATTGCGTCATTGATGCCCTTGTTTAGGTAAATTTCTTTCTGAAGTAACCTTCATGGATCTGTTAGAAGTGGTTGAGTAACTTTACTTTTATCTAATTACTTCAGGATAAGGATGCTGGACTCGTAAGTCATTACAAGGAAGATGACTCTGATGAGGCTGCTTTTCTGGCTCTACAAGAACTTAAGGTAAATCATTCTCATCATGCATCAAATTTTTAGTCATATATATTCGAAGAATGAATGAATGCAAGGCTTCAGTACTGTCAATTGAAACTGTTGGCCTTTTGTATGAGCTTAAAATTTTTTAAAAATCCTTCATGTTCATCTTTACTATTGAAACTAGAAGGGAACAAAATTTATTGAATTTTGTTATTTTTAATCCTAGATCATGGATTCTTTTTCTTCATTATTTGGATACTTAATTACTAAATATTTTATTTTATTTACATTAAGTCATTTAATTTGAGTTTAGTTTACATCTGTGCCAACTTTTTTCTATATGCAAGCGTTTCTATTGTGTACTTCCATTTTAAGTTCAATTACATGCATGTATATAGATAATAATCTTCAAACATTGCTTCGTACACTTATAAATGCACATCTACATACATTCCCAACTACATTTTTAAATATCTATGCATCACAACCACCGGATGTGCATATGGATTAATTATAAAAAAAATGAATTTACGAGTAAGCACGCAGATATAAACATATATGATTGTATGTGCATTTGCTCTTTTTGGCATATATAATTATGCATGTTTGCATATTTTTTTTATTAGAGTATTTACGTCTGGGTACACAATTCTAGTTAGTATTATTTACCTACAATTGGTGCGAAAAGTTCATCCATATAAATATCTATATTATTTGTAGAGTTTAACCTGATGCTTAACACATCAACATCTTACTCTTTGTTTTTTATTGGTAGGTTAAGGATTCGTTATCATTGGTTAAGGTGGATCTTAGTCAGCATTATACTAAACCGCCTTCACGATACTCTGAGGGAGCCTTGGTGATTTCTCTTATCAGCTTTTATCTTTGTTTTCGTGTCTATAAGTTTTACTTCTTCATGATGCGCCTGTACTGTGTTCTGTTACATGGTTTAAACTAGAAATTGCGTTGTGTAAAATACTGTTTTTTGACTTGTTATGTTTGAACATCATATATTTAGGTTAAAAAGTTAGAAGAACTTGGAATTGGGCGACCATCAACTTATGCATCCATAATGAAAGTCCTGCAGGTAATATTTTCTTATGGGCCAACTGTGCTTATAATATCCATACTTGTAAATATCATGGTAGTTTAATTTTTACATTGATATAATTTCAGTGTTGTTGAAGTAATACTCATAAGAAATGCATAATATCATCTTTGACTAAGACATGTAATTTTCTTTTGGTAGCCCGTATCATATATATTGTTCTGTTTATCTCTTATGCGGTGTGTCACGGACAAATAGTCCCACATCAGCTAGGTGTAGGGCCGAAAAGCAGTATTTAAGTCCTGGGCTGCCCACC